GTGAAAGAGGTATGGACATATATTTCTGTAGCGATAGTTCTTAGATGCATTACCTATATGTCAATTTACATTCAAATATACATTGAGAGCATATTAAATATTGCTACTTTAGGGATGTAAAACCATGCCTATATGCATTCTGAAAATAAATTTTCATTAATTTATTTTTTAAAAAAATTGTTCGCCATTATTTACTGTGCAAACTGTATATTTACATGTAATTAATATATGGTCAGTTTAATGAGAGATGACTGTACTTTACTATATATTTATTAAATCAATAATAAAAATTTATCTTTATTCTAAGCACATTGAATTAACTGTAACTGTGTTTTGCACAATTTCCAATGGAAACATTACTTCTAAACAAGATAATTTAAAGATTTTGAAGTGAGAGTGAAGAAAATGGATATTATAAGAGTAAAAAATCTCAACAAGTGCCTGTTATAAACAAGAAAGATCAGTTTTGTTGCAATATTCAAATGTTAAAAGGAAAGTTTGTCTGCATCGTCATTTTCCTATACAAAGAATCATTTCATTTATCGTCGGATTATTCATCATCTCACACGCACAGGTACACAAGACGTCGTCGTTATAAAATCAAAATCAAAATAATGCTCTTTTTTTAATATGATTAAATATATCACTTGAAAAACGACCAGAATAGCAAACACCTTACACAACATGAATTTGATGCCATAAAAGATGATCTTTTATTATTCACACACACAGGGCTTCTTTTATAAATGTACATGTATGTTCTCATGCATGGAAATCATACACACACAAATGGGTTACTACATGTATATGTATATCGATATGTACATGTATCATTATTGGAATACATGTACTCGTCTTTGATGCACAAGCACACGTTGTGAACGGAAGTCGACTTGCATATAAAACATTGCATACAGATTAATCACTAAAAAGTGAACTCAAAGATGAAAGTTAATACATGTATTCATGTTTGTAGTGAATGTTTTCGTTGTCGAAACAATTATTACTGTGATGAATTTTCAGTACACAATACTCATGATTGTAGTAAATGTACCAATTGTCAAGAAAATAAGTACTGCTGGAATTGTTTAGATTATCACAGACAAATTTATAAAGCAGATTTGTCTAGCGGAAATAAATATATCGATTGTCTAATAAAAGAATGCAACAAAGTTAATCAATATAAGAAATATGCAACATCTTTTGAATGGCTCCCTTTTGAAAGATTCACCAATGTTGAATACCTTGCAAAAGGAGGTTTTGGAACAATTTATAAAGCATCCTGGTTGGACGGACCATTAGATAAGTGGGATCATGAAGAAAACAAATTTAAACGACTTAATGAATATAAATTTGAAGTTGTGCTGAAATCATTAAATGATTCAAAGCAAATTACATCCGAGTTTATAAACGAGGTAAAATGAACCATTTCTAAAATGGAAGCAATATGCGTTTTTGTTTTCTAATAATATCAAGTTTTTCAAAAATAGATTCTAACTGCTCTAAAGTGCAGTTATGGTCTTAATTATTACGGAATAACTAAAAGCCCAGTTACAAATGAATACTCGGTAGTAATGGATTATGCATATGGTGGTGATCTTCGCAAATATATAAATTCCCACAACCAAAAAATAACTTGGGGACAAAGATTAGGATCTTTAGTTAGTATTGTTAGTGGGCTGAATACAATTCACGAGAATGAATTTGTGCATCGTGACTTTCACCCTGGAAATATATTAATGTCGAACATTCTTTTAATTGCCGATTTTGGACTTACCGGCCCAGCCGATATACAAAAATCTAATCAAAACATTTACGGAGTACTTCCTTACATGAGTCCAGAGGTACTAAGTGGAAAGCCATATACCAAAGCTGCAGATATTTACAGCTTTGGGATGATTATGTACGAAATTGTAACAGATGAACGACCATTCGGTGAGTGGGGTCATGACATACATCTCGTATTTGAAATCTATAAGGGAGTACGACCTAAGATACCGCTAAATAATGTTCCCGGCTGGTGCAAATTTATTATTGAAAAATGTTGGGATCCTATTCCAGAAAATAGACCAATTGCCGAGGAACTTTGTGACTTTATCTACTCTATTTACTCTACCTACAACTATGATCGTGTAGACAACGATAATTTGAATACTTTACATTTGCAGTACTACAACACTTTAGAATATCCAGGAACGCATGAAGAAATTATTGGATGTCTTAAACTAGAAAGACAAAAATTAGATGAGCTGGATGAGAAGATGAAATTGCAAAAACGCATTCTTACAAATACGAACAAAAAACAACAAATCCATTCAAATGCAATTTACACCAGTCGAATCTTTACTAAAAAATTAATTTCAATTCCAAATGATACAGGTATTTACTATTTCAAATATAAATTAATATTGACATTTTATATTAGTAAAATTATTTTAATTCCAACAGATACAGGTACTTTCTATTACTAAAATAGATAATATGAATAATAAAATTTCCACAAGTGCCAGTTTGTTTGTTCCAAACGAAGAAAATGAAGGTAAAATTTATTAGTTATGCTATGCCACTGATAATTGTTACTTACTGATTGTAATTTCGGCTTTTATTTATTTATATAATGTCAGCATATGTCTCAAGAGAGTTTGATATTGATATTGAGAACAACGAAAAAGACACCGAAGGAAAAAATACATAGCAGAAAGTTCAAATTTATTCTCAAAATATTAAACATCCAATGTAACGTAAGTTTTTTCGTGAATAATTAATAACAATGGAATCCTAATGTTTCCGTTTGCACAATTCGATTATTTACTTCGAAATTAATTTCAATTCCAACTAACACAGGCATGTACTTTCTAGTTTGAAATACAAACCTTATTTATATCGAATGTTTAGGCTTTACAAATGTCAGCTTGTATGTTCCAAACGAAGGTAAAAATCATATTTAATATTATTTTTTATTGACTTCATTAATTCATTACTATTTTTCTTTTGGATTGCAAAACAGAAATTAATGAGGATGAAGATATCTTGAGCTTTTTTAAGAACAACTACAACTTTATAATTAAACATTTCCAATATCATACTCTTTATTGAATGAAAAAGTATATTAATTGGCTGGAGCTCGAGTTAAAGTACAACGACCACAAAGCGACGACTTCTGTTCTTATATTTATTATTTTAACCGTTAAGATTACAATTTATTTTTTAGAATTTAACTCTTTCATATGTATTTAGCGTTAGCACACACCGATACAGGATCTTATCGTTATATTTATTCAGTTACTTTATCGTTCATGGGCAAAATAAACAGCAATCATATATATAAGAACTGTGTGTTTAAAAAATAAAAATAAGACATACAGAACTCGCTGTACGATACATGGAAACAAATAGAAATATTGTACTCTAATTATAAACCTCGTTATAACAAGATCCTTTTCCTTACAAGAGATTTTTCAAAAACGCTGAGATCGCTATAAAAATGGATCGTAATAAAAGAGCCTGACTGTAATCCAAAGTATAGACAGGTCGACTAAGGCCTATTCTTTACTATTCGAAACAAGTTGGTTCAAATGAAAAAGAGTTTGTTCAAAGAACACTATTGTGTGATGAGTGCAAAAACAAGTGTCAAATCTTTTATTTATATTTAGATTATATTGTTGCGCTTTTAGTTAAGTTGAGGGCGAATTGAGGGATTTCTAACGCGACAAGATTCTGGGAGAGATTATTAGACTGAGTGATGTTTATTTCGGTATCTAGAGCCTGTGCCGATTACGTTGATTTAGGGAGAAGAGATAGACTATGCGTTTCAGGTGAGCGTTCTGGGATTCTTTTACTATCGCTTTTTATAGATAAATGCCTTAAACTCTTAAAAATATTACTAACAATCGTTGCTTTTTCTAGACAAAGCCTTAAACTCTTAAAAATATTAACGAAAATAATGATCACACAAAAACAGTTTTTCATTAACAATGCGATTTTACGCAAACCAATGCCTTTTCTGGTACAAAGAACCTAATTGACAATCAATATAACGATTAATATGGGGGGATGGGGAAGAGTTTTACAAGTGATAATTTACTTAGGGGAGAATAATTGTACGCAATAATTCAAGTTTAATTTTGCTTAGAGAACAATTGTACGCAATGTGAATTCTCTTTTTACAAGTAGTTTACTTAGAGAATAATTGTTCGCAATATGAATTCTGTTCTTTATTAGTAGCCCGTAGGCCATTCTTTTATACATTTTTTTGTGTTTCATGTCATTTGTTACTTTTAATACTACTTTACTTATTAATAAAAATGTTTATATTGAACACTTTAATATCTATGAAAGAAACTGATGCAAGACGAATTGAAAACTGATGGAATTATGCTGAAGAATGATGAGAAGACGCTAAAAATGATGAGGGGATGCTGAAAGGTGATGAGGAGATGCTGAAAGATGACGAGAAGAGGATGCTAAAAATTGATGACAAATACTGTATTTCGACAAAAGCAGGCGTGGAGAAGATTGTATTTTCATGCTGTATACAAAAAAGGGAAGCATGTTGTTTTTATCTGCACATCAAGGAGAATTTATAATGTTATGCATTGTTGATAGTCGTAGAATTTGCTGCAATAATGCTGAAAAATCTACTGAATCTGGAAATCAGCAATGTTGGAGATACATTCGTCTGGCGTTAGCGATATCCACGGCTCGTCTTTCGCCATTTCATCCCGAAAAGCTGGAATCGAAGAATTTTGTTCGCCGGCGGTAACAATACCGATACTTCATGTTTATCACGAAATTGCACGTAGTCGTTTACTTGCTATCATCTCATACATATGAGCAAAATAAATGGTAATAATATAAATAGAGAACTGTATATCGAATCAAATTGCCATTCTCATCAATTTATGTTAACGTGCATAAGAATTTCACATGAAAAATGACATACTACACCTACAGCATGCCTTTGCTATATTCAAAAAAGCTTTGTATAAGAACATGATTTATTACATTGTGTTGATATTATCTCTTGTTACCAGCTCTGCGTCCAGAATGCGATCAATCGTATTATCGAGTTCACTGTCACTAATATCCATCGTTGATATCAAGAATCAAGTTGATGTTAGGTGGCAATGACATGATAACTAGAGGTGTATTAAATAAGCTGGATAGCCTTATTCTAATATATTACATATATATACGACGAGTCCAATTCAACATGTGAAAATTTGCATACTTTAAAACTTCGAATTAAGCAATAATTTTTTTGGCTAACACTAAGTCAAGCCGACTAAAAAACTAACCATTTTACATAACATACATAATTAGACTTGCAAAAATAATGAAAAATGATTGCATTTTGTATATTTATTCAAAAGAAAAAATTTCGATAAAATACATAATTATTTGATAATTGCACTTTAATAATAAGATAATAATGTATTAGTATTACTAATCTGTAATCGATTTATCAATAGCTTTGCTTTTTGCTATAAGTTCAGCAACTTGCTTAAGTAAATCATCTTGAAGATTGGGAATGGGAAGTCCGTTGACCATTAGCAAGAGAAAAGTGATAAATAATGCTAGGAAGCAGTTATAATTTTTATTATTCATTTTTTGGTGAATTTACGAAATTTTAAATAATAGAACGATATTTATTGGATGTTTGAAAATTTTTTCTAATATAGTTTTTCAAGAAAAGCATCTTTATTTATACATACATTCCAAATTCTAGGATGTGACATCTGACTTGAGAAAATTTAGTAATCCCAAGTGTTACTATAGGAGATGGTGGATGCACGGAACCGTTTTATATCAATATCTATAACCTATAGCCTCAAAGAATTTTGTGTTCCTTTGTTTGTATAAATATTTAATTATTTGTGTATCTTCTTTTTTTTAAAAAAAAAAGGCAGTTTTTTTATTCTGAATCGTATTCATTGATGTATGCTCTGCTTGTCTATGATACCTGCAGACGTGAAATCACAGAAGCAGTAAAGTTTGATTCGTACGCAGTCGCTTTTTTGAGAAATAGCTACGAATAACGGAATTCATGTAACGGGACATCACTTTTATGGAATTACTACAGCAGAAGATATTACAGATATATCATCAAAAGTTACATCACAACCAATTTGCTCTGCAAATATTATAATGGTTAAATTAAATGTAATTTGTCTTGAATATTATATATAATTATTGGTTTATACAGTGTAATTTTACTTTTGTTCTTTATCGTTATTAAAATTTTGAATTTTTAGCTTAAGTAGAAATTTTTATTGTTAACGTTATTTTTGCCTTAAAAAAGCAATGATGTGTACATGTAATACACATGCATGATATACATGTACATTCGTAACGATAAATGGAAAATGTTCTCAAGTAGAAGGGGTGAAAACCCAAAAACTGATTCAGTTATCGGAAGATATAGTGATAGGCTTGCAATTTCGTAACTAATTGAGCTTTCACAGATTAAAAACATTATACGTATGCACAAAAATATGTCGATATGTTAGTGTGTATCGTTTCGTACATGTAATTACATGTACATGTACAATGATAGTACGTAATAACAACGATCAAGTATGGTGCATAAAATCTAAAGTCATCAAACGTTTGTATTTTATAAAATGGATAAACTTCTTTACTAAGAAGTAAATTTAATCCGTGAATATGCTCAGAAAAGGATTATTCTATCATATTCACGGATTAGATTTTGTATTTACTTTTTAGTAAAGAAGTTTATCCATTTTATAAAATACAAACGTTTGATGACTTTAGATTTATGCACCATAAGTGGTGTGAGATCATGAAAAAAATAAATTGAAACAGTTTAAACAGTGTTGAAATCATTACGTACATGTTTAGAACAAATTACAAATAAAGTGAACAACCTTTAAATGTAAGCATGATACTTTTTTGTTTTCTAATACAAGCAAATTTCTTAAAATTATTCTAAATTGCAGTGTATATTGTGCAAAAAAAGAAGAAAATGGCAATTACTGTACTTTATTTTACTTTAGTTAACAATAACGATTCGTAGCGATAGAAAATACATATTTAACACCTCCATTTTAATTAGGCTGTTCCATAACGATAATTGACTGTTTGAGTTGTTTACATGTTCGTTTTCTCGATATATCTTTATTTGCTTTGATTTTATATCGATATGGCATACTAAAATCAAATCTGTTTTGCACCAGCAAATAAAGATACCAACTTAGATGAATCAATGAACACACAATAATAAACTGAAACTTATAAGCCCTAGATATTCAAAATAGATTTTAACTCATGAAAGAAAATTATAATATTAATTAGCATTATTGCAGATTTGCGAAGAGGGATTTGTGCATTACAACTTTTATCCCGGAATAATCTGCAAAAAATGACTGATGTTGGACTTGCCAGTTCAGCTAATTTAAACAATAAATATGCACTGTTCTTCCTTATATTAGTCCAGAGTTGTTAAATGGCAAGCCATACATTAAATCTGCAGATATATATAGTTTTGGGGTTTTATATAAAATATTGTAACAGACGAACAACCATTTGGTGAGAGAAGTCTTGATCATTATCTTGCATACGACATCTATGAATCATCACGACCTAAGATACCAAATAATGTTCTAAAACAGAACATTTGCTGAGAAACTTTTCAACTTTATCACTTTCTGATAGTAGATTATTGAAACTAAATACTTTGTATTTTCAGCACTGCAGCTCTTTAGAATATCATAAACACGTCAATAACTTAATGAGTGTTGTAAACTAAAATCAGAAACTTGATTATGTGATGAAATTACAAAAAAGTATTCATTTCTACGAATATGAATGTAAGTAAAGCTAGTCGAATTTTTACCGAAAAAATTTCAATTCCAAATGATACAGGTGGATACTATTTCGAAATTTAAATTTATACATATTGCTTTTCAGAAAATACCGTCAAAAAATCCACCTATAAAAATATTTGTTTACATACAATATTAGCGCTTAGGGTTGTTAAATGGAGCAGCATACTCCGGGTTAGCTCCAGGTTACTATGTAATTTCTAAATTTCACTCCGCTTTGGAGCCATAATTATATAAACCCAAACCATACTGTGCTCCACATGGGGTGATCTGGAGTAACCCGGCGCTAGAATAATGATCTATTTAAAAAATAGCCAATGAATGGTTTTGTGATTAAAAGTCCAGCAAAAAATGAATTCGTTTTTTGCTAACGTTGATAATATCCCTGACGCGAAATCACTGATTCTCCAAGGTATGAAAACAGATTCGATAATATAGTATTTGGATATTGCTAGTGTTAGTTTCGTTAGGACAAAAGAGAAAAATACAACCAACCGGATATGGGTAAATAAATTCATTATTATTGTTTCCTAATTTTATTTGAAATATGAGTATGAAACTCGTTTATTAATAAAAGTATTTTATATTCAATCAAATCAATTACATGTGACTTTTATAAATACTCTGGAATAACTGGAGCAGTATTGGAGCAAAACCAGAAACAATGAACCCGGAGCGGGATCAATTTGATTGACCCCTTGCTCCACTATCATATGAACCCAATTCACTCTACTCCACTCCACTCCATTAACAACCCTACTAGCGCTAACATATGTGACTACTGGATTTGATATCGATATAGACATTGGTGTTGAATAAACAAAAGGTGCGATCCGTTTATCTGACCGGACACTTTTAAAATGCTTATATCACGCGATTAAATAATACTTTTGAATTCATTGTGTTCCACTCATTCAAATAAGCTCAAAAGCTTGGAAATTCATGCAATAGTTTACAAGATATTCCGATTTGAAAAGACACAAAAAATCATGTTTATCGATAACGATAACACTTTTAAATTTGTGTCATATCGATATCGATATCGATATCGATATACGTAGCGATAGCATTGTGCCAGGTTTTGTCGAGCTCGGAAAATTATCGTTACTGTAATGTTAAAGATTGATTTTAAGATTAGGGTTAGAGTCAGGGTTGGAAAATTACAGTAAATGTATATGCAAAATTGGTTCATTGACATTTTATTAGCGCATAAAGCCAGATCTAGGCAACTGCTTCCCGTATTTTCACTTTTTTCATTTTCTTCGCATCTCTGGGTCGACAAACGTTGTACAAAATGCAGGAGTACATGTCTGATAGATGAATCGTCTTTTAACTGAATGATGTTAACACTTACAAGCACAAACAGAAGTTCTACATGTAACGTATAATCGACTTTCACACATATAAATAATCTGCCATCGTTTCAAAGTTTTTATTAAAACACGGCACGATAAAGTATGGCATCCAAAACTCACGATTGCAATGACTACTGCGGTAATGAATATCAAATTTATGAACGGTCTAGCAGAAATAAAGATATTGATTGTCTAATAAAAGAATGCAATAAAATTAGAAAAGATTTCGAATGGATTCCATTTGAAAGGTTCTCCAATGTTGAATATTTAGCCAAGGCGGTTTTGGAACAGTTTATAAAGCATCGTTGCACGATTACCACGGGAATCATGAAGAAAATAATCTGAAGGACACAAAATTGTTGTGTTGAAATTATTGCACAATTCAAATAAAATTACATCAGAGTTTATAAATGAGGTAAATTAAGCAAGTTGCTTTTTGGTTTTCTAATAAAATCATTTTCAAAAAGTAGATTCTGACCGTGTTAAAGTGCACTGAATTTTTTTAGATATTACGGAATAACTAAAAATCCAGCTAAATGAATGTTTAATACATGTAGTAATAGAATATGCAAAAGATGGTGATCTGCGCAAATATATTAATCCCAATTATGAAAAATTGAATTGGGAAAAAAAACTAAGATATTTAGTTAATATATCGCAAATTTGCGTAAAATCCACGAACAAAGATTTATGCATCGCGACTTTTATCCCGGAAATATATTAATAATGAATCGTATTGCTCGAATTGTCGAATTTGGACTTACCAGTCCGATATATCCAATTGAAATTGTGACGCAATTTTATTATAACCAATTGGTCCCATTGGTCCCATTACCAACTAATTTTGATATCATTAGATGTGTCTTGACATGATGATTCTGTTGACAAATTTTTATTTAATTTGGTTCACTGGATGCGACTATATTTCCATCTTTATAAAATAAAATATTTTTTCACATAAATTTCAGTTCGATATTAAATTTTATCTTTTACATTTTTATATTTTTATTTGAACTAATCTTTGAAATTACTTGAAATTTTGATAAATTGTTCAATATGTTTTAAAAAGAGTCCACAATATTCTGCTAGGCCACTGTAGAAAGTTATTTTCAAAAAAGTGGTTTATTCTTTTTGGTGAGTTTTACTATGCTCGAAAGTTTTTTGGCAACCTAAATATGTTCTGACCAGAATTATGCAGTTCATTATTAATTCGGGCCAAAATTAAAATCAGAGGCATGTGTATGAAAATGGATTTTTTATTTCTGGTGTGTATATATAAAATTTCTTTATAAACTGAACTTGGTTCTTGGAACAGTTATAGCAATAGTAAAACACTCTCAATAAACTGAAT